AAGAGTTGTTGTTATTTTTTAAGTATCCTGAGTTACTTGAATTGATGACTCCACAATTCTTATAGCTGTTCTGTAAATGAATAATTCCTCTGATTATTCTCTTCCCATGGTTCCCTTTGAACCTCATTTAAAGGCCTTTCACATACTTTACAGTTGTCTTAAAGTGGGAATAAAACTAAGAATAAAATGCCCCTGTACAGATTGTTGGATTATGGTACCCAAGTCTGAAAGAGATTCTCAGTCCATTATCAAATTTGGGGGTGTATGTCCTTGTGAGCTCTACCAATGCTGTCAGTAATTCTTCTCTGGGAAGTGATGGAGGTTTATGAATGCTCTTGTACCATTTTTGGCATGCTATTGATTGAATGACCTGACATGTAGGACATTATTCTTTGAACATACTGGACTGGTTCCAAGAAGCTGGGTCTGCTGTTGTGTGGTTTGGCTCCTTGGTACAGTCTCTTCTATATCACCAATGTACAACAGAATTGTAGAGGATCCAGTGCCCTAGAGAAAGGTAGAGAGATTCTGTAATCATGTTCTTTGTCATTCTCTAAGTGCCACGGGATGATCGAGGAATGAGCTTTACGCTCACTTTTCAAACCTAGTGAGCCCCCATAGAAGGTAAAAATATTCTCATCACTTCAGTTAGGGTGAAAGGTACTCTTATCTTTATATTCCAGATCCAAATAAGGGAATGTATGAGGTGAGAACCATCCATTCTATTTTAAGTTGTGCATCTCTTAAGATTGTTTTTCTTAGCATATTTCACTCTGTATATAGTTAGTACTTAGGTAGTGATCTCAGTATATTTGTGGAAGAGTTAGGGAGTAAGAACATTTACGTGTAACTTCCTAGTATTCTTATACTTAAGTATAAAATACAGGCAATACGATTAAAAGTTGAGGGAAAGACAGTAACAATGATTGCTCATTACTGATTGACATGTAAAACACATGCTTACAATGTAATGGCAAACTCTAGCCCAGTTCTTTGAAGATCCATGATACTGAACTGAATAGGATAATATTGATTAGTTTGGTTCTGTTACTCATTCTAGATAAGATACTCCTTACACTGGAGCCAGAAAATTCTAGTATTGTAGCAAATACAATACCAGGGCTGGGTTGTGCAACATTTATTTTGTGTCTATTTATTTATTTGCATATTTATATGCTGCCTATAACTGCCAAAGGCCTTCCTAGGCAGCTTACCAGTATGGCTTATGGGTCACATGTGATCCTCCATGTCAGTTTTTATGGCCCTTATGGTCCCTCACATTGTAATTGCTGACTTTTGGTGAAGGTGGAAAAAGGTGCTTTTTCTGATTTTCCATTTAGAGTTGAATGCTGTTCAAACCAAAAGTCACAGTGGTTGTGCAGGGCCTGAAAGAGCTGTACCTTGCCTTCTAGCCAGATCACTGCAAAAGCACCATGATTATAAGCAGCTGCATCTCAAAGCTGACACCACTTACCGTATTTTTCTCTCTATAAGACGCGCCTGACCATAAGACGCACCTAGTTTTTAGAGGAGGAAAACAAGAAAAAAATATTCTGAATCAAATGGGCACATAATCACAGGCACACTCCCCATCACTTCCCCATGGGCTGCACATCTGACAGACTTACTGCACACACATATTCGCTCTATAAGATGCACAGACATTTCCCCTTACTTTTGAGGGGGGAAAAAGTTTGTCTCATAGAGCAAAAAATATGGTATTTGGACTCTCAATAAAACAGTAATGAGTTTAACTCCCCATGTTTCAAAGCTTGGTATTGCATTATGCAACATGCGTATTATCATGTTTTCTATTTACAGCAAGCAGTTGCTGCTGCCACCACTACCAAACTTGCTGCTACAGCAGCTGAAATAGTTGCAGCTACTGCTGAAAGTACCATGGAGGGGGGAAAAGTGAGTGCCCTCTTCTCTTTTTCTCTGCCAACCCCCCCCCCCCAAAGAATAGTCATGGCAGTTACTGCCATGTTTGTCTCTTTAGTCCTTCAAAGTCAAAAGACCAAAGCACAGCTGCTTACTTGTCCCCACTCCCTACAAAACCTCTCCTTTTTGGAATTTCCATCCCTGAGAGATGCTTCAGTCTACACGGTCACAGGGCTCAGTGCTGCAGGAGTAGCTTGTCATTCTTCTGTACCATAGAGCTGGCTGTACCCAGCTCCCATAAAGTCTTCTTGGTTATTTCTTTTGATGCATTCAGTACCTCTCAAGCTGGATTTAATTTTGAGCAATATATAGAATTGCACAGCATATGAAATAAAATACACTGGACCAATCCCCTGCCTGTTGCCTAAGGTTCAGTAGTAGCCCTTTACCCAGAAGACATTTCGCAGCCCCAGTCTAAGCCTTTCCACAGGGGAACTGTGTGTCTTTACTAGTGTGGTGATATTGTCAGTTTTATAGTCAGCAGTAGAAGCCTCTAATTGCTTCCAAATGCTCGCTACTTAAGCTTTGTTAAGTCCCTGAATTTCCTTATTCCAAGAAATGCAAAGCTGGCTCTTTTAGGCAAGTCATTTTATTATGACTGAACTAGTCCCTAGTAATTTTGCTTTATGATCTCTTCCTTTGTATTTTCTCCCCTCTGCCTATTATCTTGGATCATAAGCAAAACATTTCCCAAGCCAGACACTAATGCAAGAATGTTTTCACATGACTTTTATGATTTTATGGTGGTTATAATTACTGTTAAAATTGATCTTGGATTTAAAGAATCACTCATGGGTTTCTATCAATATCTCTTTTGTATAGATTTCAGGAGTAGCATAGACTTTTTATAGATTCTGTAGCTGGAAATTCTATAGCTATTCCTTAGAAAGTGCCTAAGTCACAGCTGAGCTACTTACTGGTATATGACCTCCCATTGATCCTCCCATTCCAATTAATAATTTTGTTCTGAATAACAGCTTATTGTTCATTTTGAGTGATGTAACTTTTAGAATACCTTATTTCAATCACTACATACTGACCATGTAGGGACAATCCTATCTTGACTTAATAAGCCAAGGTATCAATGAGCATTATGGCTTTGTTCTCAGTTTCTCATGAGCAAATAAACCTGTATGCCTTCTATTTAATTATCATTTCCTATTTTGTCTGATCAAGAAAATGATTGAGTCATGGTCTGAAGTTGGCTTAATATCCTGGTTTGTTCTGAAGACGTTAACTCTGTGGCTTCTACTTTGGATGAACTGGGAAACTATAATTTAATGGAAAAATTACTGGCTTGCTCACTTAAGCAAAGCAGGCATGTATGTAGCCACAAGCTTGCTCATACCTAGATTTATTAAGTTGCGATGATAAATGACTAAAGGTAAGTTTAACTCTTCAATTTTACTGGGTGTGCAGATAGAGAGCCACAGAAAGGTGAGCTTGTACTATGTGCATTTCTTTTATTACTCATGTATTGCATCAAGTTTGCCAGTCTACCTCTGTCAGTCTGTCTCTACCTTAAGTACTGTGTAGTTACAGTGCAAGTTTTGGCTTTGATGATTCCAGATTTGCCAGCACTCAAGTCTCCTTTGAAAGAACAGTGTTGGTATCAAAAGGTACATGTGGAAATCCTTGGCTGCATCAGACTTCCTATTTGGCTCTGAGCAAGTTAGATTTCTCCAACTGGGTTCAATTAACACCCTTTATCTATTCTGGTGGCATTAATTGTGTACAGTCTAAACACTCTGGGGATATTGTCTACCCTGTTATGCTTGGATATGCAGCTTCTAGTAACAATTTGACTTTGCACAATTTTTGATAAATATGTGTAATCTGTGGCACATTTCTGTTAGCTAAGTGCCTTGTGTCTGTGGCCTGGCTTTTGGACCAGGCTCAGGCTCAAGCTCCATGGATATGATAATACTGGTGGGCCATCATGCTGTTTAGTCAAAGATTGTTTCATGAGCTTGATCTGAACTTTACACTTTGCTTCAGCACACAATGTGTAATCTGTGCATGTGGTCCAGATTATTTCCTGAATAAATGTAGTATTTTGCATGAAATTTTGCAAACTGTTAAAGTTGTCTTGCAGATAGATTTAAAATTTGTGTCTAAAATGGCTAACATTGTGGAGTACATATCTGATGCAGTCTCTGCAAGTAAGGGTTAGGATAAATTGCAAACCTGCTGAGGAGGATTGTATTTGTTTCAGCAAAGAAGTAATATGCTCCTTGTAGCCAGCCCCAGTCAGCAGTTTGGCAGCAGCTCTCTGAACCAGCTGAAGTTTTCAAACACTTTTCAGAAGCAGCCCCATATCTGAGTGTTACAGTAATCTAAACAGAATGTAACTAAGGCATAAGTCACTGTGGTCACATCAGACATAGACCACCATTGTTTACCGGGGATGGGGTGAGAGGGTGGGGGCTTACCTTCTAAAACTTTTAGAAATCACATTTGACCCAAAATGCTGCAGCCAAACTGTGGACTGGAGCTGGCTACAGGGAGCAGGGCACTCTCTGGTTACAGCAGCGACACCGCCTGCGAGTCCATTTCTGATTCAAAATGCCATGTTTGATCTATATAATTCTATACAGCTTTGGACCAGGCTACCTGAAATGCCACCTTCTCGCAGACGAACCTGCCCAGGTCTTACAGTCTTTGGGAGATGCTCTTCTTTTGAGACCACCAACTTCAGAGGGGTTGGTGGCAGTGGCAAAGAGGGAATTTTGGGGACTACTTCCAGGTAGTGGAGCACTGCCTAGAGAGGCTAGGGTTGCTTCTTCTCAGTTGTCCTCCTATTAGCAGGCAAAGACCTTTTTATCAAAGCAGACTTTTGGCATGCATGCAGTTAGTTTGGTTTGGAGGTTTTTTTACTCTGTGCTTGTTCTATTTCTCATTGTTTTAATGTATTTGATTTATTTTAATAGAGTTTTTATGATTGTAAGCTGCCTTGAGCACATTTTTCTTATAGAAAGGCAATGGGTTCTAATTGAATGAATGAACAGTGCGCTTTTAAAAAGATGTCGCATTTTAAATGTCCAAAAAATTCTTTCTAGTGTTGTTCCACTTCTAAGAGAGTCCATTGGCATTTTGATGCAGCGAACTCCTCCTTCGCTGGAAAGTGCTCTGCCTCAGTGCTATCAAAGGGTAAGCTGTCATTTTTCCATCTGTTTAAAACATACCTCTAGATGATGGGGCAGCTAAACATTCAGCATCTGGAGGATACTTAGCTCTAGGAAATGTTGTACAGGTTTCCTGGGCAAATGTTCAAATGTTAAGATAGCAAATCAGACAAATGTTTGCCTTTGTACAATTTCTATGCTTTAGTATTTATACAAGCTGATTATTAATGTTCTTAATGTGCATTTAAGGTTGAATCTTCAAATAATATTCATAACAATCTACCATTGTTGTGGGCATTGGGTCTGGTATTTTTATTGAGTCACTTGTAACTTCATGATTGGTCTCTATAGTGATAGTCTTAAAACTACAGAGCAGCCTTCCCTGATCTGTTGTCCTGCAGGTGTTTTGGACTTCACCCTCCATCAGCCCCAGAAAAAAATGCCAGCAGTCAGGAATGCCAGGAGTTGCAATCCAAAGCACCTGGAGGGCACTACTTCGGAAAGGCTGTTATGGAGGGCATAGCACTGTGACTAGGAATGGTACTGAGTGGTTCAGAGCTGTGAAAAAGTATGTGGCTATAGAAAGGTTTTGAGTGTAATACAGTTGCCGGAAAGGTTTTTTATACTCAGTGCAGCTTTTATTTTTTAATGCTGCAAGGTAAACTGGTTTTTTTTGACGCTTCTGCTGTGTTTAAGAAGTAAACTTGTGTTATGTCATGACGTTGTTCTAACAGTTTGTCTTGACTTAGGGCAGCCCTATGAATTAAAGCACTCCATGCTGCCCTCCCAAATTCATACTTGTGGCTTCCTTTATGGAGTCAGTCCATCTCATATCTGGCTTTATGCCTTTGACTTTACTTAGCATGATTGTCTTCTCATAATGAGTCTGAAGTACCACCGCCTCAGGTTTTGTTTTGTTTTGTTTTGTTTTGTTTTGTTTTGTTTGCAAGCTTATATAGGATATGAAAGCAATATCAAGTTAGATGCTTTTTAATGTTCCTAACAGTCCATGGGCTTATTTGAAATACATGGATTAAATACTTATGTTTGGAACAGAAGTTGGAAGAAATCACTATGTCTACTAGATACAGTCTTTTAAGGAGCAGAGATGGGGAGACAATTAAGTTCTTCTCCAGTGAAATTTGTCCTTGCTTATTTATTATGGTATAGACTTGTTCAACTTCTGCTTAAATAAAACAAGTGTGATACATTTTATATATACCTCAATTCATATTTATCCTGGTTGTTCTTCATGCTGTCTGTGTATCATCCATATGGGCTCTGCCCCTGGGCAGAGCCTCAATTCAAAAACCTTGAATAGCTGAGGAACTTCTTTGTGTAAACCAAAGTTTTTTGTTTGTTACGGAGAACATAGCATGGGCTTATTGGTCTCTTAACTATGTTTTGCTCAGCATCCCACCTTGTAGGACTCAGTCTGGAAGGCCAGTTGAAAGCAAACTGCAGTAGAGGTGTTGCAACTTCAGTAGCATTTGGCAGTATTCTTACCACCTCTCATGCTGCAACTTGTATGCAAGCTCGTGTCTGCTCTTCCCACATCACAGTACACTACCTCTGCATTTACAAGTGTATAAGTAGCAACCTCGTTGCTTCTGTAAAGTGTGAGAACTTGTCCCCACTTGCAAAATGAACTTTCGAAAACACCGAATGAACCAATCTTGCTTTGTAAGGAACCTTGCTGCATAATACTTATTTGTAGCCCACCTAGGGAACCTTCTGACTAATGGTGTGGGATGAAAATCCAACAAATAAAGCAAACAACAAACATGTTCAACCCAATCTACATTTGTCACAGACCTGGTGTCCATGCCTGGCCTGACTGTACATTTGTCAAAAAAGTTTTATCTTTAATTCTGCAGTAGTGCTGTTAACACCCTACAGTGGTTGACCTGTCACCAATAAGCCAGCTTGCTACTTGTCCCTATGTGTGATGCACAGAGACTGTGAGGGGAGACAGGTTGCGGCACTGTAACTATGGTTTATTAAGTGGTCATCTGTGCATTCACACAACCCACGCAGCATCCCCATTTTGGTGCCGGTGCTAAGTTTTGACTTGATACTGAAGTCACTGATGTTGGTTGCAGTGTTGATACTGATGCTGAGTTTTCTTTCTCTTTTGAGGCCATTATTAGGTGGTCCTAGGGAATTGAGGGAATAGGCCGGAACTTGCTAGGGACATGCACAATATGAGCGTTCCTGCCAGAAAATTATCTGGTATGGATCATTCCTGAATCAAGGTTCCATGCAGGTGCAGAACTCATATGAATGCAGTTACACAACTTGTCTCTGTTTTATATACCACAAATTCATTTATCAGAAATAATTACAACAAAACCAAATGCCACTTCTGTTTTAGGTTCAGCAATTGCAAGGCGTTTACAGTTTACATGATCCTCATTTCTGGACCCTGTGTACTGATGTTTACATAGGGACTTTGAAACTATTTGTAGCTCCAGATGCTGATGCAAAGTGGATCCTAAGCCAAACTCACAACATCTTTACTCAGGTGTGTATTTATTATTTTAACTCTAAAGATGGTTCTGTTTCTTACAGGTAAAGGGAGTATTACTTTAGTGGAAGGGAAGACTAGGAAAAGGCAAAAACATTTTTGTTTTGCATCTAAAAACACATAAAGAACAAATATCTAGGGGAATTGCTTGATTTTTCTTAGTGCTTATTCAGGCTTCTAAAAATAAGTTAATGTGCCAGCCTCAGACTTGTAGCAGGCATGAATACCCATACCTTCCCCAATACCCATATACAGTTTTCTGGTGGTTGAGATTGGGGTATGTACTTCCTTTAGAACTGTTTTCTAATGCGGTTCTTTTCTTTTCTTTGCAGGCTGGAGTGAGACAGTTATATGTACAGATTGACTTTGCCGCTATGTAGCAAAGATCTTGATTTCTGTGGACCAAAGTTTTCTAGTACTGTTAAGATTTTAAGACATTGCCCTTCCTTTGGAACAGGGACCCTTCTTTCCTACAGTTCTCCAAAATGGAACAGACTCTGCTGCCTTTTTGGCTAGATTAAGAATGAAAATTACAAGGGCACCAACCTGGACTCCTTGGGATTGACATTTGTTTGCCCTGAACCCATGTGGATTATTTGCCAAGTTTGTTTATGCAGCAAACTTAATAATAATGTGGTATTACAATCATTGGTTATGCTTTTTGTGAAGCTGCTGAAGCTACTGCTCATTCCCATGAAGCCAGTGTTTTTGCGGGGAGGGTGGATAAAATGAAATTAATTTTGTTCATAATGTCACAGTGGCTGACATTCTGCAACGTTACTATATGTAAGACTGTTTGCACTTTGCAAACTTAATGAACCAAACCATATTGGGTTTTCAGAGTGCCTTTATATCACAGTATCTGCCAGCACAGATATGGAACATTGGGGATTTTATTAATTTTTATGGCTACTACTTGTACCTAGTAGAGTTCTTGCTTGTGATTGATGTGATTTATGTATAATTGCATAATGGTAGATGTTGGACTCCCACTTAGTGTTACATTTTAAACTTCCTTGGAGGTGACTCTTCAATTTATCAATACAAAGGTAAAATGATTACCCAAAGCTTGTTTACAAATTTTTTTATTACCATGAAGTAAGTCTAGGTTGATAGTACCTCACCATTCTGACAGTAATGAGAGATTACTCTGTGGCAATTGTGCTAAAGGAAAACCTGCAGGAATATGATGCTACAATTTGATGCCTTCTATATTTCTTCTTTTATATGCAAACCTTTCACAAGTTTTGCAGTGAAGATTAGTAGTTAATATTTTTATGAAGCATTCAAAAGGAAGGATGCTTTGCATCCTAGCTTTATCAGCTAATCTGGAAGTGTTGTCTGGTAGATATGCTTTAACTGGGGAATGAAGATTTTTTTAATATACTAGCCAACAGATAATCTGAATTTTGTTTCAGATTCTATTTTCATTTAAATAATATTAACATGCTCTTAGTCTTGGTATCTTATATCAAATAAGAACACTCAACCAGAAATACCACCTGTACAACCTGTATCTGCAATAAAACCAATACATTTCATTTTCACATTATACAGCATAATTGGTTTTGTTGAGTCTTGCCCCTCATTTGAGGTTTGCAAAAGTAGCCACAGATTTTGCAGCAAATATAGCACTTAATTACCAGGGCAAATCTTTTAGTGAGCTGTGTTTGGTTCAGTCAACATAGGCTTTAATTTATCATATTTTATTTAGTGTTAGTTGAGGGTCTTCTTTAGGTTTCACAAGAGCACTGTGACCAATACATTTTTGTGGGTTTATCCTACCATGCTCATGTAACATTTAAAGAGCTGCTAGGTAATGCGTAAAGGGCACCTCAGACAAAACGTCTCCACCTGTTTCTAACATTGGACTGGAGCTGTCCAGAAGTAGGTTGTGTCATAAGAAGGAAGTCTTGTTTTTGCCAATTGGAAAAGCTGATTACTCATCTGTCAAATTAATGGAGATCACTCACCTCAAGTCCATTTGTTCAAAGCTGTGTGATGTAATTGAAAGAAGGTTGCATTAAAAAAGGTTGTTGCTAAGTGATGGTCAGAAATTATTTTCCTAACATATATAATAGTTAACTTGATTTATTCATTGATCAAATGATTGTGCGAGGCATTCAAAAAGCCTAAGCTGGAATTGAACTTTATGCTGAGAAGAGCTCCCATGTGGTACTTTTTTAATGGCAGTAAGCACTCTCATAAATTTATTTAACTTATTTGTCCTTTCATAATATATTACTGGCTGCTTAATTTCTAGTCTGTGCTTTGTTTTGCATGCTGTTTAGATTAGAAAAATGGCTTTTACAGTAATGGATCTGAGTTGCATTCCTTTCCACAAAACATTACTATTTTACTTCAGGAAGATTCTTATAATGTGTAAAACACAGTATAGTAACTGACCATCTGGTCCTACAGAAAATGCTTGTGCTGTTTCTTGCACACTATAGTAAATGCATCTTTCCAATATAGAGATACTACTCATCTCTGAGTAGATGAATGTGAAGTGCCATTGACTTAATATCTGACCTTTATGTTTTTTAATTGCTACTTAAAAGAATTCCTTTTTCATGTGAATTGCTCATGTCTCAGAACTTTGCTTATACTATGAGATGGAGGTTTTAATGACATCTCTTAACACATGCCGAAACACTGTGTGTGGTTGAACACAAAACTGAAAATTGCTTAACCTTTTTACTAGTGTTAATTTATTTAAGAGCTTTTTGCAAGATGTCTTTTTACTGTTGCTAATTTTTCTCAAGCATCAAGTACTAAATCATGTTAAATCATACTTTGCCAAATATGTGGCTTTAAAATTTGCTTTATTTAAATTTGGAGGCCTCGGTTAAATTAGTGCATTGCTTTTATACAATGCTAAGATTCTAGTGCAGAAAGGAACTTGCCCAGTAAACAAATGTCCTTATTTGTCTACAGTCACATTGCAAGGTCTTCAATTTAGGGAATAAAAGTTATTACAGTAGGAGTTTAGTGTATGCTGTGATAGAATACTGTATTTTTATCCTTTGCGTTCAAAGGTTGGTGTGCTATACTGAGTCATAGGGTGGGCCTAATTTTTGAATCATATTCTGCTGTACAAGAGACTGCACTGTACAGAGTTGCTACAGATTACAACCACCACCTCTGTAGTGCTCTCAGTCCAGAAATTTTTGCAGTATAAGGACATTTTTAAAGACAAAAACATCCAATCACATTGAGATACTGGAAGTCTTAATTAGAAAATAAAACACTGGTGTAATTGCCTGGTCTAAAGTTTTAGACTCGTTTTAAAGGATTAAAACTGAAGTATGTATGCTAACTACACTTTGCTAAGTAAATGGTTTTGGGATAGATACAAGGAAACAGAAGTTGCCAGTTGAGCTGGATTGGGATGTAGCACAAATGAAATCAGTAGTCATGTTTTTAAAGAGAAATAGTGGGGTTGCTCCTTCCTTTCAGTAGGGTTGGTTTTGGATGCCCTGTCCAGTTCTGATCAGGTTCTTTCATTTAGCTAAGAATGTTCTGTAGCTTTCTAAATAGACCATTTGCTTCAATCTTCAACTAATCATATTCCTACAATTCCACCTGCTGTTTCTTTCCCTTACCTGATCTTCCACTTTCTAACAGTTGCTTTTCACTCAAAAGCATCGATTGCTGAAATGTTGCTATGGAGCTCTGTGGAAATGCGTAGAGCACATGCCAAATACTTGGTTTTTAAAATGATTTAACATAATTTTACTGCTGACCACCTCAACTGATATTTCTTACATGAAATCAGTTCTGTGCTTGAATGCTTAATAGAAATAGTGCTTACATATTTCACACTCCAGAGGTATATTATGAGGGTATGGTTATGTTACTGCCAAAATTTAATTAGAAATTTTAGATTGGAGTAACTTGCCTGTGAAATCCTGAGTTGGACAGTACTGTGGCAACTCTGCTTCCTAAGCTGAATATTAAGTGGGATGTTATCAGTCAGCCTTTTATTCTATTGCTAATTGCATGATGCATTTGGTGCAGCTACAGAACTTTGTTTTGGTAAATCCAGACAAGTGACAACAGATAACTGATGTCTGTATCCTGAAATTGGCTTGGGAATGCTAAAGTTGGTAGCCAGATTAACTTTCTCTAAGTGCAATATTGGACATTCTAATGCATCTTTTTTCTACTTGAATAGTCTCTATAAAATATTTAAACAGCAAATATGTTTGAGACAGTATATGGGATCAATTTTCCTATCAATAAACTTTTCTCTTTTTTTATATGCCCAAATCTTGTGCCTTTAGTTCCTGGGGCTAATTTTGAGTCCATCCTCAAGGAAACATCTCATAGGTAAACAATGTATGAGCTAGACACTGGATACAAAGATCTTATGAAATCCTGAGTGGAAACCCTACTTCCTGCAAGGCACATAAAGATGGACTTCATTTCTGCTCACTGAAGAGGGGATGGCTCCTGAAATTTGATTTGCAGGGTTGGAGGACTCAGAAGCAGTGCGGAGAGGTTGCACAGTTCCATGCAAAGACTGCTGCCTCTCTTCCTCACCTTCTATGAGCAGAAGCCTCCAGTAGGGCCCTTCCATTCACAGAAGAAATACTCTGGATTTATAACTAGATAATTCCATCTAGGAGGTAAGCAGACCTTTGCAGCAAGGTCACCAGCTTCAGCTGCAAAAACCTGAACCATCATGAAATCAGGTGCAAAGGGCTACATTGCTTGATGAAGTGTGGCTTAACTGCTGATCTACCTACTGTGTATGTTTGGCAAATCTTGTAGTTCATTAAAGTGGCACCTTTTCCAGTTGCTGAAAAATTGCTGCTGGACTGTAATCTACCTCTTATTTAGAAAATAGGACTCATTGCTCTACTGCATGGGTCCCCAAATGAAGGCCTGCGGGCTGGATTCGGCCTGCCATGCCCATTTAACCGGCCCACCCCACAGGTTTTGCACTTGCCGGGTGAGCGGCTTGCTCATGAGGTCGTCGTTTTGGACTAGCTCGGAGAAAACGATCTCCTGAGCAAGCTGGCGCCTCAACTTATGTGCATGCGCCCCCCTGCTGGCACTGCCTTGGCAGCCTGTGCCCACTGCTGGCACCTGTCAACTGGCCCCCTTTAGAAAAAGTTTAAGGATTCCTGCTCTACTGTGTCATACTGCAGGTGGATACTCCTGGGATGGAGGGTTTTTTTTTTCCATATAAAACAAATCCCTGCACAGAGAAAACTAACATGTCAAGGTAGGCTAGCCTTAACTGTAGCCTATCTTCTGACTACTGTGTGCTAGTTTACCCTGGAGGAAACTGATTATAAGGAGTAGCACTTGAAGCAGGAATTTCCCTCTGTAGTCTGATGTGGTGCAGCCCAGACACAGGTTAAGGGAGACCGAAGCCTGCTTCAGTATAAGCTTCCTGAATGTAAAATTTTATTTATTACATTTCTCTATCACCTAATAGACAAAGCTCATTTCAACAAGTCAGCTCAGTAGAAGTGCTCACTGTTTACCTTTTATTGCAGCCAACAGTACATGCAGCAAAAATGTTCTTACATTCTGCCACAACAGTTCTCCCTTTGACTGTAATTTTAACCCCAATTTAATTCATTTTAACTCTCAAGCAACAAGCACCAAAAAGCTCTAATAAAATTGCCTTATCTTGTCTTTAAGCAGTAAGCCTCATCATGTGCATCTTGCAGTGTGCTAGTAACTCTTTAGTTTTCATAGACATGATCTATAGAAAACTATTTCAGGTTAATCTCCCAAACAAGGCTCATTATGGGAGGATGGGGGTTACCTTTACCATACTTGCATTTAAGATGGCTCCAGATTGTATTAAGTAGCCCAGTAGTCAATTTTGAAACAGCTATTAGTGCTGATGAGGCAGGTCCAACTGGAGAGAGATGTGATGACTGAAATCTATGGGCAACCATGATGGCTTAGTGTTTTACATCATTTTGGTTTGTTTTCCATCAAGCTTCTAAACAGACTATTTGAGAGGTTTTTGACTGGGGTGGGGGGAAATGGTGCAAAGGAATATGTGACGGGGTAGGGCTACCCCCCCCCCAAACCAGGGTCTTGATGATTTTTGTTTTATTTGCTTGGGGAAGGGCCATTTATGAATCACTGAGACGGGCTGTACTGCTGGAAAAGTGTTTCCAACTCCTAGAAAGCTTTGTTAAAGTCCCCAGATGTGATGCACATTCAAATATTTCTAACATTTTGCCTATGGAAATGTGATGGTGCTGAAGCATGTGAAGATGTAGTGAGTTCTACATGTATTCACTTGGGAAAGGGATGTAAAAAAATGAACAAGTAAATTTTGTTATGGCAAAAAGATTTCTGTTTGAATGGCTCAGGCCTAGTCTTCCCTTGCATTGTACTACTAGTCCACGTTCTATGAAATGTCCCTGCCCCAAATGTCATGGGAAATTGCATTGCTGTACCAAAACAACAGAAATCTCGCATGTTTTTAATTTCACATAGTCTCAACTTTGTTGGGCTCCAAAACTAATAAAGTTTTAATACTTAACTAAATAGAATGTGAAAGCGGATATCCAAGTAAAACTTCATGGAATCATAACAGAGGTGGAAGGGGCAGAGGGTCCAACCCCCCTGCTCAGTACAGGACTCCATGTTAATCTATCCATCCCAGATGGCTGTCCAGCTGCATCTTGAATGCCTCACATGAGGGAGAGCCCATAACCTCCCTAGGTCATTGGCTCCATTGTCCTACTGCTCTAACAGTCAGGAAAGTTTTCCCAATATCTAGCTGGAATCTGGCTTCCCATAACTTGACCCTGTTATTCTGTGTCCTGCAGTCTGGGATGAGGAAGAAATCCTGTCCTTCCTCTTCGTCTTAGCCTCTCAAGACCATGTAGAGTGCTATCATATCTCCCTTCAGTCTTCCCGAGGATAAACATGCCCAGTTCTTTCAATCTCTTCTCATAGGGCTTTGTTTCCAGACCTTGGATCATCCTTGTCCTCCTCTGAACCCTTTCCAGCCTGTCTGCATCTTTCTTAAACTTTGGTGCCCGGAACTGGACACAATTCTTCAGAATTCCTAACCCTAACCCTAACCAGTGCTGAGTAAAGGGGAAGTAGTACTTCATGTGATTTGAGAGTGATACTTGTTAATTCAGCTTAAAATAGCATTTGCCCTTTTTGCAACCATATCATATTGTTGACTCATATTCAGCTTGTGATCTATTTCCAAAATCCTTCTTGCGTTCAGTATTGCTGAACCAAGTATTTCTCATCTTGTAACAATACATATGGTTTCTTTTTTTTTTCTAGGTGCAGACAAACTTGGCATTTGTCTCCTACTTAATTTGTCCCTACTTAATTTCATTCAGTTTTCAGCCCAAGGCTCCAACCTATCAAGATCACCTCGAATCTTCTGTCTTCCAGAGTATTACCTATCCACAAGTATTCCCACAGTCTATCAGTCCATCACCCAATCTCCAATAAAATGTCACAGTCTGAAATTCTTCCTGCTTATAATGTTACAGTTTTGGGTATTCCTTTCCCCTTTTGCCTGAGTAGGTAGTCAGCATTTCATGTCCCCCCCCAGCGTGTCATCTGCATTGGACTAGTTTTCTGGAGATGGAATAGTGGGTGGAGGAAAGGTTCTATTATTTTGCTTTTGCAAATATCAGTATTCTTTAGTATGGGCGGTACTAACTGGCTTCGTGCAGGTTGGCATGCATGCATTAAAATGAGACAACAATTACTATCACAAATCACATGTAATAGATTTGAGGCTATTAATAAACTGCATTTCACAAGCAAAGCTGTAATACTACATGCTGTGACTGCACTGGAAGACAAAGAACAATTGACCATATACTTAGACAACTTCCCATTCTTCAAAAGAGTATTAAAAAACTGTGTGTCCAATATGTCTCATTCTGAACTCAGTTTTAGATAAATCCACTTTTTCTAAGTTTCTTCTGCACTAATTTAAGCAAGCTGGTCACCTTACTCAACAAGTAGGCCTTTTGGCTTCTGGTACCACAGGGAGTGTCAACAGGGCAGTCCACTTCAGCAGCTGGAGTCAAGCTGGCCCATCGTGTTCTTCTTAATTAGACTCAGTGCACAGCATGTATGGAGTGTTTTTATTCAGCAGTGTTCAAAGACAGATTTATCTGCTGCAAAGAGTTTTAGCATGTCTATTTCCAAAGGATGCAAAGTTCCAGTTACTACCAGAGAGTGTAGAGGTTCACCCAGCACCACTGTGGTCATTTCCTGCAGAGTGCCTGAAGCAATCTTTTGATTCTCTGCACCAACTCTTGCTAAGCCTACACACACCGTGTGCTCTGTAATTTCTGGAAAATTAAAGAACATGAAGAGAGAAGGGAATGTTAAGGAAACAGACCTTAAAGTTTAAGTGTATAGCATGCTTACATAGGAAGTGCTGCGGTTCTCCTTCCCTAAAAAAGGTTACGTAGTACTCTTACAACACCACTAGGATGCTCATGTTCAACCCATGGCATTAAGCGGGCAGACCTCTGGAGGTCACATTAATTGAGCAATGTTTGTAACAGTGGCTCAACAGGAAGTGGTCAACTTGCTAAAAGAAATACCCAGGAAACAGGCTGTCACTATTCCACAAGATATCTGAATTGCAGGCATAATAAGCAGTGAGAAGCTGGCAATCCTATGGAGTCATTTACTGAGTATAGTGCAGATGAGATGTAATGGGGGACTTGCTGAAAAATCTAATTCAGAAAGGCCGTTCATGAATCACTGAGACCAGGCTGTACTGTTGCAAAGTGCCTCGAGCTCAGAAAGCTTTGCTAAAGCCCTCGAATGTGATGAATATTACTAATACTTTGCTTATGGAAGGTGGTGGTGCCGAAGCATGTGAAAATGTAGTAATCCAAATTCTTCCTTCTGAACTTCTGCCTTGCTATTTGATTCACATTCAAGCAGCCTCTGCAGAGTGGGCAAATCGCTCTTTTGCTGCTTGTTACGCAATTCACTGTTTTAGACTTGCCTCCTTCCAAGCAGGCTGCATGCTCGTCCAAGAATCTGCAGAGCTGGTCCTGCTGGTGACAGCTACTGTCACACACCCTTTGGCATGTCAAGAGTAATGTGTACCTCCCACTTTAACGATGAAAAACAGCACCCCTGATGCTGTAACAGTTTAGGAAGCAAATGCAGCGGTGGGACACCCTGCAGCACTCCGCCAGCTCCAGGCAGTCCAACAACATCTGGACGGCTATAGGTTGCCTGATCCCAGCCCTAAAGTCAAATGTGCTTTCCCAGTTTCAATGCACTTCAAACTGCTTTGTAATAGCACCTCAAGAAGCAAATGAAGGACAGTATTTTCCATTATTACACAGAGGAAGGTCAAAATGACTCATTTTAAAATATGTCCATATGGGATTTAAACACAGAATTGGCTCGGTGAGCTTTGTGGTGGGTTTGTGTGCAGGCCAGCATTCTGCGGCTGTAGCTATATGCCTCCAGTCCCCATGAAGTTCAGTGCGGACGATAAGCCACAGAGGAACCTTGGCCTCCGTGCAAGTTACAGCCTGCCAATTCTCGAATGGTCCAGCTCCACAGTAAATTGGGTGTTCATTCGATGCCTCATTTCAGAAAGTAGCACTGCCCTTCCCTGGACAGGCAGGCCATGGATAATGTTGCACTATGACTTCCTTCATCTCCGGCTACAGTTGGGATGCAGGAGATTGTGGTGCAACCTAGCTGGAGCACACCTATTCAGGGAAAGGCTTTGCAGGAAGGAAATTACTTCCATACCTGGCTCTTCACCCTCTAGCCGCCTCTTCTGAACAATGGCAAGGAGTTGCTCTGCTGCTTGATTCACAGACATGTACCAGGGTGGTTCATAAATCTTCTTCCCCCTAATAAAAGAAAGTTTACAGTAATGGACCCATAATTGTCCTGTCATGTCCCAGTTATGTAGCAATACCTGAATCTGGGAAATACAAATTTTATCTGCCATTCTGAAGAAGTAGAAGTTGATACACAAACTGGGTCAGGCCAAAGTTCTGCATTCTGTCTGTTCAGGGTTACTCTGATGTCTCCAGAGCTGAGCCTGTACCCCCCCCCCCACCCAATTTGTTATGGCCTACAGTTTCCATGGTCCTTTATCATTGGCTATGCTAGCTAGAATTAACAGAAGGTGAAAGCCTGAAAGCTGGAGGCCCTTCCTTACTCTAGAAGTTCACAAACGGCATACATGGGAGTGGTCTAGCATCCAACCCTACAACAAGTCCCACAATTCCTAACCAGCAAGGTTGATGCTACTGAAATAATAGGAGGACGGGGCTAGTCCAAGAGTAAGGCTCCTAAATGCAGAGAGGGTCCATACAGTCAATCCTAGAAACTACCACAGAGCTTGAAGCGGCAAGAAATTGGTATGTATTAAGCAAATGCAAAGCTTATGGGCAGCAGTCTCTTCTATGGACCTTAGCGTCACCAACCTGCTCTCAGATATGGGTGAGTTATGTCAAAGTCACATTGTCTGCGTGTACTGCAAATCAAAACCACTGTAGGGTTGTTTTGATGCTTTCAACCTAGGAATTATAGCATGCATGATTAAACTGAAAATATCTCCCTCCACTCCTAAAAGAGGTGCCACAGTTTGCACTACCCTCCATAGCATGCTCACGGTCGTGTATTTCTACACCCCTGATCATCTATCCCAGCTACCACAACTTCAGAGGGTGTGCTATCCCTGCCAAATTGGAAAGAAGGCCTGTATTTTCCTACCCTATGCTGTAGTTATATAATTACAGACCCCAAAGCCAGTTCTCAAGAGTTGGCTTCTGCAATGTTTGCCAACTCTGGAATTGGCTGCGTAAAGCTTCTGAAGAGGTTCCAAGATAAATTTCCATCGGACATTGTCAGACTGCATGAATGCGAATCTAAACCAAAGTGAGGACGTGTCCAAGAAATGATCAATAGTTCCAATAGAGATGAGTTAGCGGAGATGACTTAAGTTGCCTGAACTGATCTCCGCAAGATTAGGCATACAGAACACTCAAGAGGAGAAAATAATAATACCACAGATGAAATGCCTTGAGGTCAGAACTAACCTAATGTTATTCAATTTTTATTTGGAGTTGAATAATGTATACTGAACCCAAAAGAAATGAAACTGACTCATGAAACAGGCAGCTCATCTTCTTCTCAGGCTGCTGGTGGAAGACGACAGCTGAAAAAGGAGGCACAAAATGCTAGGCAAAGACACTCTTCTGCCTGCTGCCTTGAATGAAACCATCTCTCACTCCAGCTCGGGCCACCACTTTAAAAAGTCCTCCAGCCTTTCAGATGTTGATTCCTGCCAACATTTTATCTTCTTCTCAAAAGAATTCCTGGTGCAGGTGGCTTCAGTCTCTAGGGTTAAGCCACCTGGTACCCGCTAGACTAGGATTTCCATCAGCCCTTGTTAGCACAGCCAATTTCAGGGACTATGAGTTGCAGACCAAAGCAATTAGAAGGCAGCAGGGGTTCTATCTGACACTATTTCTGTTGAGGGGATATAATCCCAGGTTGCTGAACTGCCCTGCCACAGACCAAATCAAAGAAGATGCTCTTAAAACCAGTAGCAGGATACCCACAGATTGGTGAAGCAATGCAACCTGGCCTCAAAACTGTAATTAATGGATTTCAGAATCAAATACTCCCTGAATCATGATATCCAATTTCTCTGCTTAATAATCACATTACTTAACTGGATTAGCCTTGTTTTAAGAACTGGATTAGCCTTGTTTTTGGTTTACGGTATAACAGATCAATCTTGGAGTGAATTCCTCCCCATACTCTGCTTTGCATGCATGTAAACTAACAGCAGCTTTTGCAAGAGTTTTATTTATATACGAACATAAAACCCTGATCTATATGCACATTATTCTTTGTGACATACTGACAATGCACAAATCTAAAGAGATAACTTACTTCACGAGATTCTCCATGGATTGCTCCTTTACTTTAATGTCTGTGGGGAAAAAAATACACTTGGAATTAATTGTGTATTTAGTTATATGGATATGGGTAAAATACCCTTCGTTAAAAGATTTCAGGGTGCTGAACAATAAGAATATACGTAATCCAAATAAGATAAAATGATGATAGACTGATTTCTTATTCACAACTATTACGAGCCTTAAAGTTTGTTTTGTTTTTCTTTTTTGCTGTGTCACTAGATGCTTCCACTATAGGAATATTACGCATTTCTCTTTCACTCATATTAACCTAATTTACATGTAACAACAAGCCAGAATATGGCTATGGGTTGCTGAATCCTGAGTTGTCATGTGCAAATCCAGAATTAATCATGAACAGCCCAGGAAGAGAATCCATGCTTTGTTGTTAAGTTATGAATTCTGGGTTTTTTAAACCATGGGTTGTGCTCACATGTGAACCCAGAACCATGGATTGTTTGACTAAGCTACAGAGGCAGTCGGCAAAAACAGAAAAGCAAACCTCCCAAATGCTCTATTGAACAATACTACAGCACTTGCTGCAAAGGCATTTAGGATACTGGGAAGGTGGGAATGAGTGATGAAGCAGGAGAAAAACAACCCTGACATTGAAAAACATGCACTGTATGTGACAAATCATGGATCGACTGTGGGTAAGACAACAACCTGGGTTGTTCAGGTGTAAAAGAAATGGTTCACACATATGCATTATTATCTAGGTATTGTTTGTAAAAGCAGACCCGCAGAAGCTCGCTAGATAGATATTTATTTATTTATTTAGCGAGCTTCTATGCCGCCCCCCCCCAATCGCCGAAGCGAATAAGTTGCCATGTGCACTGCCCAGTCCTGTTCAGTGTTCCAACTAGCTATGTCTTCTTTCAGGAAGCACCTTCATTCCCTCTCCTTTGTTCTTAATTCCCGTGAAGCATCTGCGATCACTATCAGCTGCAACACAGAGTGCTCCTGTCCAGGGTTCCAGCCAGCCATGCCCTCCTCCATTCACTCCATATTCTGTTTTGCTGTTTCTTTTGTTTCAGCCTTGAAGAGTGTTTTGCAATTTCCTTTCCTTAGGATGCTTTCAAAAAAAAATACACAACTTGTTTTATATTTTTATTTATTTATTGGATTTATATCCTGCCTTAAAAAAATATTTCTCCTCCTCCTGCTCTCAATCTTATTCCAACAACAACCCTTTGAGGTAGGTTGGGCTGAGAGGCTGTGACTGGCCCAAAGTCACCCACTTGGTTCCATGGCCGAGCAGCGACAGAACCCAGATCTCCTGAGTCCCAGACCTGCTCTCTTAACCCTACACCCATCTGGCTGTTTCACAAAACAAGGCTTCCCTCATGCTTGCTCATACCTGCCTCTTGTGCATGGATGCTACTGCAGGTCTACACAAAGAATGCCCTGTTGTACTACTTATTTTACACAATTAAGGACACTACACTGATGTTGAATGTTGCAAGAACTAATATCTTTTAACTGACGCTTCTGAAGTATTCAGTTAAAGCAAAATGAATGAACTAGGTTGGAAGCCAAGCATCTGCACAGGCAAGAGCCTTAATGTGCCTATCATATTATTGAAAAGGATCATTCTGAACCCTGGTCAATGTCTCTTTTCAGTAGATTTGTCCTCTGAAGTGGCTACCCAAATCTGCACATGCTGTAGCCACTACAAAATACTTCTTGATATGCATGAGAAAAATCATACCTCGGGATTTATGATCAGGCAAAATAAAAATGTGCCAATCTACCAACCATACTAATCTGGCTTTCCCCAACCCAGTGCCTTCCAGGGATGCTGGGCTACAATTCCTGTTACCCAAGTCTCCATGGACCATGGCTGTGCTGACTAGGGATGGTGGGGGGGTCACAGTCAATACAGCTGGAAGGCACTGGCTTTGGGAAGACTCGTCTAATTTCAATGGCAAGTGGTGACTAGATCATGAAGACCTCCTCTCTCCATATGAACGAGCTTATACTGTCCCTTTTCCTATAATTTGATTGAGAAGGGAATGGATTTTTTTTAAATAGGCAACTTACTATATTGAACCTTGATATTCCTAGATTAAACTTTAAGAATTTTAAAAATAGGCAGTGTGTGATATATTGATATTTATATACACAATAGGTTAATGATAACTTTTCAGGTTCTGTTTTTGTAGGAATTGAGCTAATCATGTTTATCTTTCTAATCCCATACAATACAATTTGCTTTTATTCAGCTCAAGTTTTATTCTCTGTAAGTTATTCTCTGTATCCAGTAAAAATATCTTCAGCCAACTACTTTGTAAGCAGCTCTTCATACTTCTTCAATAAACCAGGAGAAGTTTATTGCCATGGTTAAACATCACTACAGAATGAAATGGGTGCAGAAGCTCGACATTTGATATGGTAAGATTGCTGCATGCGTTATCTAAAAAAATCCAACAGTTAATTAATAGAAGCTAAGTAAAAATATTTGCTTGTCACTTTCTGCAGCTCTTAATAAAAGGAAAAAGGATTCAAAACAGCAAATGGATAGATTATGCTGCCCGTAGTAAAAGCTATAATGATGTGTCTTTCATTGCAACAGCAATGGAAAGGAACATTTAATGTGCTTTTAAATCCATCTCTCTCAAATGCATTCCAAAAGGGAATATCTGCAGTAAATTCCCAATGTATAAATTGCTTCCAGTCCCTGGTTCCTACAAGTGGTGATTATGTTCGCATGTCCTGGTTGATTATATGCTGGCATTATGTACCTCTTTCCAACACAGAGAGCTTGGATATTGCTTTTGGACTTGGAGGTTTTGGGACAGAATTCTGAAACTCCCACTCTGTCCAAAATATAGGGGAGGGAGTAATAGAAATCATAGGGATGGTATATGCTTACAGAAACCAGCCTACGTTCAGTAAAATGTGTATGGTTATATTCTGCAAACTCACAGAATGCCCGTTTTTTGGGGAGAATAATGCCAGTTCGGCTCATCAAGGAGCTCATCAAGTAAGAGGAAAGCCCTTCTCATGGACTGCTTTCAGCATCTTAACAATGCGGAAGGATCCAACTGCACTGGTCTGATTTCCATTCTAATCAACATTCTATATGTGTGTTGTTTTTATCTGTGCATAATCTTCCTTTAAGTGAGGGCAGATTTTCCTTAAAAAGATCAGAACAATTAAAATAAACCTGGCTAAGTATGGAGACCATAAGATTGCCTCACTTTTCTACAGGCTTTGTGTTTTTAAGAGCAAACTGATTCACAAACATTTAACACAGGCTGGGTTTCTCAGCTGCTTTTCCTTCTGTGCCAGGAAAAAAAATATATGATAAAGTCATTTCTATATGACTTTATGTCCACCTTCTGTTAAAGGCACAGGAGTAGGGCCAGTAAAAACTCGGCGATCTTAGTGGAGGGATAAATTTGTTCAAACATTCCTTTTAAAAATCAAAATTTATTTTTAGATGTATGATAAACTATTTCAATATTAGCTGAAGGGCAATTTTTGATGGACTGCCTTGATAGCTTAAGACTGTTAAACACTGCAAGCTTACTCAGAAGTATTTTTCATTGAGTACTAGGGAGCTCCCAACTAGGTAAGTGGGTATAGGGTTGCAGCTCATAGGTAGGAAGTTAGTGGTTTTGGGCAGGGCTCAGTTCCCCTGCCTCTATATTTAATAACCTTCAGTTTTATGGAACTCAGAGATCAATTTATAGGTTCCATACAATTTAGTGATTGTGGGGATTGGGCCTGATTCTCCCAAAATACAGCATTCCAAGGTGGATCCTCAGACTCAGAATCTGAACTGGAAGAAGAGGAGGGGCTGGAATGTGCAGCTGAATCTGCAAGGCAATGAGCTGTGAGATAAACCAAACACTTGCTGAGAAACAGACTGCCTTTGGTTCTGGAAAGGACACTGTGGAATAGAGATGGCTGGGGAGTGCTATTTTATCAGTTCAGTGGTCTGGTCAAATCAAATGAGCAGACTAACTATGTAATATCTGGTATTCTGGCTGTTTTGCCCACATTCACTGCAAAGCTCCCTGAGGGTGGTGCTAACTCAGTTTGGTGAGGAAGGAAGGAGGGGAATTCAGTTCAGAATCCACTTTCTGGAATGTGCAGAACTAACTATACAATTATAGGGATCGTTAACTTGATGGATGCTTCTTGATAACAAGTTTTATATTACTCTTTCCCAGAGCCAACTCTGGCTGGCCAGCTTTAAAGTAATAAAATGTTGTAGTTAGAAGCCTTAATCTGCTGGGCGGCGAAAAAGGGAGGGTTTGGGGGAAGAGCAACCAGCTCATCATGGTGACAAAACCTATCCTAACCTGTTCAACCTCTCTTCCTGCATGCCATGATCTAGATTTCCATTCCTACCCCCATGGCTGATACTTCTAAAAGACAAATACAAAGAGGATCAATTGGCCAGCCTGAGTTTTGCTCAGGGATTAGAAGGGAATCAGAAGCGCTTCATTTGATTCTCTCCAATACCACCTCCTGTGTTAGAGCTGAAGGTAGAAAGGCACACAAAGTAAAAGCAAAAAGCATTTGCTTTCTTACATGCTACTTGCATCCAAAAGTTGATGTTGCTACTTTTGTGTTTGGTCAGGAAAGGTGGAGCTGTTTGGCCCATCTTTTGCCAATCACTATTATAGCTTCAAAAATGCATGTGGATACTAATTAACAAGAACTCAGCGTAACAGGTGACGATGTACAAAATGGTTCTTACCGAGTAGGCAGAGCGTATGCATCCCATTCCTTCTGTTTTTCGTGATCTTGTCAAAAAAACTCTCGGGCTTCCATGTATCGGTCCAGCAAACGACAGAAACAGTTTCTCCAAAATTGTACAGCTGCCAAGAATGGGGAGGCAAGGCAAGGAAATGCTTGAATCAAAGTTAGAACTTCAAAGTAACACAACATATAATTATACGCATGTTACACTGTGGGGTTTTGAGACTAAGGCATAAGTCCTGAAGTGTATTGCTACACGATTAAAGACAACTAAGCTCCAGAGCATCATCGCTTGTGCTCTGGAGATGCATTCTGTGGTTGGATTGCAGGCACACCTTGCTGCCTCTCTGCTGGCTCAGCCGTTTCGCATTGTGGTGGTAGCGTGCAGGTACAGTGGACCACACAGAAGCTACTGGGAAAGGGAAGAGGGTCAGGAACTGGATGGTGACAGGAGCAGACAGAAGCAAAGCAGAGCAAGATGAACATGAGGGGGAGGCTTGTGGTCCTGGAGGGAGCGACACTGGCTAGCCGATCTGCAGGGAAGAGGGGGGAGCATGGAAGGTGAGCCTCTCCGCGTGAGTCTGAGACAAAATGGAATGAATGCAAAAGAGGATGGATGCACAAGATGCGGAGAAAGCAGACCTGTGGCCAGCCTAAATGTTTGTTGTGGAGTGTCTAAAAGGGGGGGGGGGGGAGTTTATCTGGCCTGCACACCCTTTCAAGATAACATTCTAAATTGTTTCTATTTAACCCATATTTTGCAACCACATGGCAATTTATATACATTCAAAAATAGTAGTATAATAGTAGAAAATTATGAACATTTCTACCATGGAATTGGAAAGAACCATTTAGGCCATCAGGTACAATCCCCAGCTCGGTGCAGGGATACAGTTTACATCATCCCTGATAAATAGCTGTCCAGTGATTTTGAAGCGATGCTTCTTTTGAGCCAACCTAAAATTGTATTTGCCTTTTTTGCCACCATGTCATACTGCTGACTTGTTCAAGCTTGTAGCTGATCACAACTCCCAAGATTCTTTTACACAAATGATTGCCAAGCCAGTATCCCCTACCTTAGACACGTGTATTTTGTTTCTTTCTCCAAAATTAAGAATATTGTGCTTGTGTCTGTTCAAGTTCATTCTGCTACTTTCTGCCCAGTCTTCTAACTTCTCAATTTCATTTTAATTGTTGTTACTGACTTTTAAAGTGTTAATTACCCCATAAGCACTGTGTCATCTGTACATCTGATACCCATTCCCCTACTCTTCTTCCTGGTGAGCTTCTCAGCCATGGAATCCTGCTTATCAGTGCTCTGAACTGAGTCAAATCAACTTTCTGGAAGTCCAAGAGAGTTTATGAAGATATTTTGGCGGTGCTTTGTGGTGAGCAGATCCATATGGTGGCTTCAGCATGTTGTTGAAAATATATTGTTTTGCATCTTTTGCTACTGTCTCTCAACACAGTAACTATGTTTCCATCCTGCTTCAATATCTATCTGAGGCTGGCATGATGTTATTTATTTTATTTTATTTAAAACTTTTGTATGCTATCCCTTATGCAGGGCATCTTGGGATGGCTCACAATAAATAGAAATCAGATACATTAAAAACAGTCAATAAAATCAGATACATTAAAATGTTAGAGGTTTAATCTATCCCAGCACTATTAGCGTAATTTCAGTACAGAAGAAATAAGAAAGACTACTAATTTCATTGAGCCATCCAGCAGAATCTGCTTTTAGGAGACACTTTTCACAAAGAGAAGATGCACTTATTAGAGAAATAATGCATTCTTCATTTGGATGTGTAACTGTAGCAATTCAAGTGTTCAGTCCGTTGCTGAATGAACAGGCATTTTAAAAGAGCTGCTTTTATAAATCTGAGCAATATGTCCCTGTTTAAAAGATATGCACACATATTTGCATAAATCAAAAGATTCCTTCATCTTAGGTTCAGTCTCAATCGCATGTCACATTAGGGAAATCGAGGCAAATTCCGTGGCCTTGCCAGACAATGGCATCTGTACCTTTAAGATGAAACACAAAGACTCTCCTAGTGCTTTTCTTTAATTTCTTAAAGAAATTTTTAAATTCTTTTAATTTCTGTGATATATTTAAAGTTTGTTTGCAGAAAATTTTGGGAGGAAAATATTTAGGGGAAACCAGCCTCCCAGCCAGCCCAACCTAGGGGCACAAGAGAGAGGAGGGAACAGAGAAGTAAAACCTTCTGTTTCCCTCTGGACTGAAGTCCTGTCAGCTGCTCCTGGTATGCACCTCCCAATCACCCTTGCCCCATGAGGAAATGCCACCCTCAACTTCAAAAAGGCCCCTGCAAACTCTAACCCTAACCCCGAGGGATGAATTCCATTTTGAAAAAGTCTCATTCCAGTTGGTGGGCAGGGCCAAAGTCAAAAGGGTGAGTCCAAATTACCCTGATGCTACAGGGTAATTTATCTTAAAGCTTTCACTGCCAGTAACTAAACCTTAGATCCATTTCGACACTTTACAACGGGGAAATACTGCACAAAAGCCAGGAAACTGCCATGCAACTGCGGATTGGGCGAGACCAGGGAAGGTGGTGTGGTCTTCTGTTTTGGTCCCTAGCTTGATGGACCAATAGTTCAAGACAATATCTCTTGTTTCTGTCCCTAGAACAATATGCTCAGCTGATGATTCTTGGAATATTACACAAAACATCCTCTTAAAAGCTATACTTGGGTAAGCCAGAAAGAGAACAAGCAATTCAGATTGTGTGTGTTTCACAAACCAGGAACCTGACACACACATTGCGCAAAATAAGGGAAAAGCCAAGATGCAATGTTTAACCCTTGAAATATTCACTTCTCTCTCGCCACCCCCACAGCAGAATAAATGCTTCAATTCTAACCTGAAGAAAAGCTGTGGATTTTTTAAAGGGAAAATGAACTGATGTAACATTAAAGAAAAACAGGAAATCTACCTTGCCTAACTCAGCTGAGAAGCACGAAAATGGCCAAGTCCACGATTTGTACAAGGCAAGGACACCTGCCCTGTTGGGCCCTCTTGTCAGATACCTTACTCAAATACCTCTCTTTCCACTCAGCCAGTGTGCAGAGGGTACCTTTCTGCCCTGGCCCTATGACAGCTTGCTCTGTGAAACTCTGCATTGACATTCAGTTAGATTAGAACTAAATCATCTCTCCCACACACTTTTCTATATGTGCAATAGTTTACAGAGGAACACAGGGATCCTGGACCTCTACAGTCCCATCAGAGGATTTGATTTCAACAAGGAATTGAAACAAGGACAATGTCATGAGCCTAGCTTTCTACCTTCTTGCCCTTAGTCTCTAAAACAAGTTTCTTCGCAAAGCAGATCTTTCTTGACATTTCACTGTTACTAAAAGCCCTCTAGTAAGCTGGAAACTACCTCTGCAGATGTCAAGAATGATAGCTGAACCCAACTTAGGGACTTCTCCCCCAAACCTTCCCTTTCAGTAACTTGGTGGGTCCCACTCTCAGGGTGGCTCCCATGGGTGAAGGGCCAGCTGGTAAGACCTATGCAAGCCCTCTACCTGAGCAGCTCCTCTCCCTCAACTTCATGGGGTCAGGGACCAGGTGAGGCATCTCTCTCCCCTCCCCTTGCTGTACTCCTTCCATCGCTTCCAAAACATTTCCACTCTCTAACTCTCTAAGGTGATCTGGGAACATGCTCAGCAAATTGGAGGGTGTGTCAGAGGCTTGTGCCTCTCCCTGGGTTCCCAGAACTCCCATCCCTGCTTCTTCATATCCCCAATCCTGACAGCTCTGGGAAGCCTGCTAAGAGTAAGAAGCTTCACTCACTACAGGGAGCATTCCATCCCTTTAGGAGTAGTTGCACATGTTCAAATTACTCTTTTCTACAAATCAAAGTAAAGCAGGAATCTTGTTCTCCTTTGCAGCTTTGGTTGCCCTAACTGCAAATGCCTGGCAGGTCTGATTCTCACCAGATGATGATGTTTTAGCACGTCCATTTTAAAGAGAATGTTGAAAGGCCTGGAAAATAGGGATCTGGGAGTTCCATGCTAGTCCTCAGATTTTTTCCTGTCTTTCAGAAAACAATAAAAACAATCATTTTTGTCCCATCAACACCACATCTCTGAATTCATTTTCATCCGACAAAGCTGGTATTCCACAAGATATGGTCATCTCTGGGTCTTAAATGGCTTTCCTGAAGTCTTAGGAGCTCCATACATAGCAACTGCTGTGGAAAGCAAAACCCTCCATGTAACATGAAGATCTGGGAACTCTGGCCTGGTGAGGTTCTCCAAATGCATGTGTCTGAGCATACCACATAAAAACACATGTGTTGCATGTTTGTTTTAGGGAACACCAGGGTAACACTAGTAATCTCTGCAGCCTCTGTAATGAATGGAAGCTGCCCCTAGATCCCAGCTTTCACTATATGTGGGCACATTTAAACAACTTATTCAGCAGCAGACATGAACTCTTGTTAGCGTGGCAAATGCCCTCTGAGAACAAAGAAACAGAAATACATTCTTGGCGGCTGCTCATGTAGAACTCTTCCCCTGTAAACATGCCCACCCCAGAGTGCTTTTCAGATGAGGGGCTTGACTTTTATGTGTATGGTGTGTTGACAGCAGCCCAACCATGGGAGAAATGTTTCAGGACATGTGAGTTATGAGATCTGATTTGATCTGAGCATTTTATACACATCAACTGCCCTTTAATTTTAGAAGGAAGCGAGAACTTCAGAAGCATTTCGGTTCTACCACCACACCGCACAGAGATCTTCAGATAACACTTAAGTGGGACTAACAGGGTGAAGCTAGACATCAGGTGGCAGCACTCAACCGAGTACCTAGAAAAAGACAGAATCGCTTCACACAGTTCATGGATGGAATTTGCTTGGATAAGATATAGGGAGGACCACCATTCTGAAGCTGGCACATATCCTTAGATGCACTGCTGTAAGACCGGCAATGTTGTGCAGTCACTGGGTACTGCAGTCCATTGCGCCTCACCTCTCAGAAACTGATGGACTTGGGGGTTTCTAACATTCCTAGGTCCTGCTGGGCTGAAGCTGGCAGGGCAGGAGGAATGACAAAGGTCATCTATGCTTCCCACCTCTGCTCT